CTGATTGCTAGTAACAATGGCGTCAGTACTGAAAGTCTTTCACAAGGGACCCCTCCTGCTAAAATCAGATATATTTTATCTGCTATTAATCACTAAATCAGAGTTTTATCTGAACCAGGGTTAGCCCTGAAGCGTATTTTTAATGATGAAGCTTAGCTTTGGAACATGTGAGATGCGAGGGGGAAACACAACATAAAGAAATTCACTGCATGTTTTCCATCAAAGGAGACATAAAATATTCTCAGAAACATGTTTTATGCTCCAGAACTAATACAAGAACCACTGAGGGACTCCGTTATAAAATTAGAAGCATCATTTTACATCTTCCTTGAGAATAGTTGTTGTAAGATAATAATTTCTACCTTAATAGCTGTTCTCAGTTCATTTGAAGGCAAACAATGCATAAAAATGAGAGATAGTTAACTTCAGAGAAGACACTTGGGTATATGTGAAGTAAGAAAAAACAATATGTACGCTGAACTATTTTATGGTATTGTGTGATGCTTGCAACACATTTTTCTGTTTGTCGAGATCTTAATTTTTAAAACATCATCCCCAGTAGGAACAATTTTATGGTGCAATTATATGAAAGGTTGATTTAATATAGTTCCTCAAAGTTTTTCCAAAAACCAATTATTCTACAAATAAAATGTAATAAGGAAGAATTCTTGCTAGCTGAATAATTGATGATATGATTATTAGTTGTCTCTTGTTCCACAGGAGTAACTTTATAGTTGTAGAATGCCCTTTAGCAAAGGTAATAGAATTCAGGTAACTCTAAACGTGACTACCTGGCTCCAACAGGGATCATATTTGCAGGATGGTTTACTTGAGGCATATGCCATGGGAAGACACTACTTGCTTAATCTATAACAAGGTAATAGCCAAAGCTAAAGGTTAACAGTGCACTCAGTTCCTTGTGGATAATGCCTGTATTGGCAGACAGAGAGGTTGTCTCAGAATTTGCAAAGGCTGCATGGTTTGTTCAAACTGCAGTTGTATCTTCAAGGTAACAGTTGTGTTCCAGGGTTGAAATCAATTGAGCCCCTTGGCAAAGTCAAAAAATAGCAACATTGAGGGATAACCATTAATCAGACATGTTGAGAACCTCCAGTGCCCCCCCATCAAGAAAAATTTTATTCTAACTTTGCCATGTTAATGTCCTTTTCCACCTTATACTGTATTCATTTCCATTGAAATACTGAATTCCCAAATAGATAGCTTAGTAATCAATATCCTTAAAATTCTGGGTCACCATTGTGGTGCATCACAGCAATAAAAGCTTACCAAATTAGTGTGACCAGTTGATCTAGCTTTGTTTTTCAGACTGTGTCACTTACTAATGCTGCATAGGCAGATATTTGAAAGTGATTTGAAGGGAATTACCTACTATTACAAGACCCCTTCTTTGATCATATACCACTCTGCAGCTCTCTTTATTGTGGATTTTTTTTAAAAAAAATGTTCTGAATGAATTTACATGTGCCATATACCATTCCTTGCCATGCTTCCATTTGAGGAAATAAAACATTATGCAGGTGTGTTTCTACCCCATTAACAGCTGCACAAGGAGCAGCACAGAGGCACACATTCCGACCGTGTTCTCATGTATGTTCTCATGAAGGTAATCAGAGCACTCATGTGTTCTCATGTATACTCTGATTACACCAGTTTCTACATCCTAAGGGAAGCCTATACAGGTAGAAGACTCCCCTTGACATATATGCTTTGTCAGCACAGCAGTGAGAATTCAGCAAGAGGGAGCTAATATCAGGATATATTAGTTGTGCAGTGGAATGTCCAAACATTCTGTGTCTTCTGCTCAACTATTCTATTTATTGCTTTATTTGGAATATTTATACATTCTCTAGTAAGTAGTCCTTGTGGCCTACAATGTGATTCAAAAATAAGGGGGGGGGCAGCTGCTGCTCTTAGCAAGAGAGTAAACCTGTTCACCTGCTGCTAATCCTCTTATATCACAACTGCCATTCTTCTGCAACATCTCTAGGCTCCTGCAGGTCTCAGAAATAATCCCAACCTGAATGAAAATGACTGCTGAAAATTAAAATCGCTCACTTCAGAAGCAGGCAATAGTACAACAACAATCACAACCAAACAAAAATCCCACCACCATCACTGCAGTTTACATCTTTAATAGATTAAATGCATACAGTAAAGTAACCGAATAACTTTTTAAAAAAAAATATCAGTAAAGCAGGGGAAATGCATCCCCTACAGATATACAGGTAAAGAATGGCAAAAGTAAGCAAACAAACAAAAACATAGTTCTCCCTCCCAAAAATTAAGAAAAGCAAGAAAGCTGATTAAGGCAAAAAAAAAAAAAAGACTCCCAAACAAAACACCTGGAATATAGGGAGCTCTCTCTCCTCCCTGCCCCCAGCACCTGGTGCTTCTCTTCTCTTTTGTTTCTTGCATCCAGCACAGTAGTAAATGGAAGAATAATCCAAGAAAGGACAGGGCAACAGAGCCAAACGAAATCTGAAAGGAAATGAGGGAGGGGAGAAGACCGAGGGGAGGTATGATAGCACTTCTGAAATATTTGAAAGGGAGAAGACCAAGGGGAGGTATGATAGCACCTCTGAAATATTTGAAAGGTAGTCTTACAGAGGAGGGGCAGGATCGCTTCTTGATCATCCCAGAGTATAGGGCACATAATAATGAGCTCAAGCTACAGGAAGCCAGATTTAGGCTGAATATAAGCAAAAACTTCCTAACTATTAGAGCAGTACAATAATGGGACCCGTTACCTTCGGAGAAAGGGGAGGTATGATAGCACCTCTGAAATATTTGAAAGGTAGTCTTACAGAGGAGGGGCAGGATCGCTTCTTGATCATCCCAGAGTATAGGGCACATAATAATGAGCTCAAGCTACAGGAAGCCAGATTTAGGCTGAATATAAGCAAAAACTTCCTAACTATTAGAGCAGTACAATAATGGGACCCGTTACCTTCGGAGATGTTGAGCTCTCCATTGCTGGAGGCATTCAAGAGAAAATTAGACAACTGTCTGAAAGATACAGTATGGTTTGACTTGGATTCCTGCAATGAGCAGGGGATTGGACTTGATGGCCTTATAGGCTCCTTCCAACTCAATTGTTCTAGGATTCTATGATTTTTAAAAAATTAAAGCAAAAAACAAAGTTTGCTGCGTATATACCATCCTATAGCATTTAAAACACTCTCTGGGCAGTTTACAGTTTAATTATGCTGGCTACACATTGTCCCTCATTCCTGCCCCCCCCTCCCCGTGAGTTTTGTATTACTGACCTTGGAAGGATCAAAGGCTAAGACAACCTTCAGCTGGCTACCAGATCCCATTGGGATCAAACTCAGGTCATTAGCATAGCCTTGACTGCAGTACTGAAGTTCAGCTACTGTGCTATGGGGCTTCTAGGACTCACTATGTTAATATCTTTTAAAAGTTTACATTAGTTCTCTAAGAACCTTTATTTGCTTCTAATTATGAATTGTGGTGTAAACTCCAGATTATAGTGAAAATAAAACATTTTGCTGTGACATGTTTCTTACAACACAGTCCCTGTATATTTACTTGGTGTATATCACTGTAAATACATGGCAATAGAATGTCAACCTTAAGCTGTAGCTTTGTGCCCACTTATCTCAGAGTAACTCTTGATGAACTCAGTGAACTTCGTATGCAATAGGAAGAAGCAAGCAAGGGTATATGACACTTCTTTGACATTCTAGGGGGATTAAGCTTCTTCAAGTGAAAACTCATAATGAGCATGTTCTCTTGAAAGATCAGAGTCTTCATCGATAGCTGTTTCTCTCTGAACTAGAACTGTCCAGTTTTGCTCCTCTCCTTTCTGTTACTCCACTTGAAGAGAAAAGTCCCAAAGTAATGAAGCGTCCAGAATATGTCAGTATCTATTATCATCAGAATATGTCAGTATCAGCATTCCCAGTATAGGAAATATTTGGGATTGTTGACAAGTGTAGGGATACCTGGAATATCTGACCAAAATGGATGTGCAAACATAATTTCAGTATATCTAGATTTGCCAGGTTGAAGTAATATATTTGATACATATTACTGTACTGAAAATATGGATCCATTCACCAGAAAAACATAAAGTGTGTTTGTGCCAACCTTCCTCTTCCACTTTGTACCTGGATAAAGAGCATACAGGTCAGGTTGGATCCACCCTGTGCTCTTTCAGAGACATTTTGACCCACTCCATCCCAAATTCTATGAAGTTATCTATGTGCATCTATATCTCCCATTTTTGTTTAAATCATTTGGATGGGGATGAAGTGTGAACAACTATAAATGGAGAGGAGGAGCTACAGAGCACCCTAATTTTGTGCCTTGCCACTCAAAGTCAATAAAGTAATCATCTTTCCACAGTCACCCTCACAGAAGAATACAATATTTAAAAGTGCAAAAAGCCTATCTAAACAGTGCCAGAGGCCTTTCTCTTCAATCTCAAGCTCTGAGGAATAGCTGGCTGTATGGCTGCAGGGTAATCAATATGCATGGTGACCTTCCCTAGCACCTCATTGCTTCATTGCTTGAGCATCCAAGGGAAATCTTGGTCTTTATTGTGGGGTGAAGCTGTCATGTCATTTGCTTTCTCTTTTGCCAGCAGTAGTTCAGTCTACTGTTAACATGTTGCTTCTGATTCTCTCTTTCCTCAGTTTAAATTGTTGATCATCTTTGTAAGCCTAGAAATGACAAATAGGATTAAAAAAAAACTGTTGTGGTATTGCTCCATCCCAGAGGTGAGGAGTGGCTCTTTGCTTCATCCTGTAGTTAGAATTGCACAGATATCCCTGACACATTTCTCTTTTGCTCACTTGTCTGATGACAATGCACATGCCTAATACTGTACTAAAGTATCTATTTAATACTATTTTTGCAACAGAAAAGTGACAATAATATGAGTCATCTTTAAGAAAACACTTTGCAATATCTTATTTATGATTCATACTCTGATTTTAATATTTTCTCCTCTCTTTTTAGGGATGCCCTCTGTCTATTCATTAGTGACACTCCTTTTATCACTATTCATCAGTTTTATCTCTGGAGAAACAGAAGTAAAATTCACTGGACAAACTGAATTTATAGTTAATGAAACAACTACAACAGTTATACGTCTTGTTATTGAAAGGACAGGAGAACCAGTGAATGTCACAGCAATTGTATCGGTAAGAAATCTTTCTAAACTATGTTCTCTTATATAAAAGATCTGCTTTAAGACTGAGCAGGAAAATTAGGTTTTGGCATCTATATTTGTTATTAGTATGTTGAGAAGAGAAACATTCTTTACCAGAATGATGACAAAAAATGTGGCCAGAATCCTATTAGTGTATGCATGAGGTTTGTGTTACTTGGGATAGCTAATTGCCGCTATCTGACAAGATTCCAGGTAGCATCATGGTCGCATGCCTGGTCATGTTACCAGTTATGCCGCCAAGATGTGTGCAATACCTCAATAATTAGTTATAGTAAGTTACAAAAGCTTAGCTGAACACCAGTAGGGTTCTTTCTTATGTAATAGAAATCAAATATAGTGTTGCAACAATAAAGGAGTTTGTTTTAATAATGGCTTGGAATGTACATGCCAGTGGAAATATCATGTAAGTATTCTGTTTTAAAGAATTCTGATATGTATGTTGCAGATTCACGGAGAAAACACAGGTGACTTCTTTGACACATACGCAGCAGCATATATATCGGAGACAGAAACCAATCGAACTGTGTACATTTCTGTATGTGATGATGATCTTCCAGAGGCTGATGAGACATTCATGTTTTATCTGACATTACAGGTGGGCACATTATTTCCCTCAGTCATTTGGACTGTATATGTGGCCTAACTGGAGGGAAAATGTTTTCTCATGTACATGTGCTTAGATTAGAACATCTATTTCAGCATTTTACTTATTTACTATTTATTTTACTTTTTGCTATTTATATACTCTACTTTCTTCACAAGAATAGTGCTCAAGGTCACTTGCAAACATTTTAAAAGAATAAAAACAAGTAAAACTAAATTTAACCATCAAGGTAAAATCAAAGAAACCAACTCCACTGTAAAAACCATTAGAATTACCTAAGTCAGTATATTAAAATCATTAAAATCAATGTGGGATACCTTATTGCATTGAATGTCTTTTGGGGTTGCTTATGTTTTTTGGTATTATATTCATTGATTGTTTTAGTATTGTGTACTTATTGCTACTAATCTTAAATACTGTATTTTAATTTTAATAAGCTACCTTGGGTCTTTTTTAAGGAGAAAGGTGGGTTAAAAAAAAGCTAAAATAAAATAAAATAAAATAAAAAACAGTTGCGGCTCCCATCATGGCTGTCTAGGGATTATGGGAATTACAATTCAACGGCATCTGAGGGCCCATATTTTTTTCGGGGGGGGGCAGCAGGATTGGGCTACATGCTTCCCACATAGTTCATTATTGCTATGGCATCATTAATATTGTCAAACAGTGATTAACGATCTGCAAAGTTTGTGTTAAGCACTTGCTTGTTTGCTCAGACTGAGTCTATAGAATCTGCATTCTGTTAAGAGTAAATGCTTTTTGGAACATTCCACAAACTTGAATACCTTCTCCTAGAAAGTGTAATTAAGAGAGATTCCTTTAGGCTAAAAATACTGAGAAAGCACATTTTCCCTACATGTATAGACTGCTTCCTTTCTACTTCTTTCTAATTTTCCTGTGTCTGGTTTGTTTTAGAAGCCACTTCCAGGAGTAGCGCTTGGATTGCCCCGAGTTGTAACTGTAACGATTCTATCAAATGACAATGCCTTTGGAATTATTTCTTTTGATATGGTATGTTTTTGTCTTATAACTTTATTCTCTGAAACTAGACTGCATTGAAGGTTTCTCAGAGGAGCAATTTTGAGGTTTGTGGGGAAATTGGCCATCACACTAGGCATCCATGGCATGGGGATTGAATGCCTGATCTCCAAATTCAGGTCTCAGCAGTGTGGATATGATGTTTTTAGGTAAATGACTGTATGTATACTTTATCCACCCATTATACTTCATCATAATCTATGGGGAATGTCTGTCCCTTTTGAGTTCAAGGTTTTGAGACAACTCAGTTAATTGAATATGAAAGTGACAGATTGTGAAATACCCTTAGTATAAATGCCCTGCTCCACAATGCACACCTTAATGTGTTTGGGTTGTAATGGGGTTGGGGTGTGCCAGGGAATCCAAGAACAATGCCTCCAGGAGGCTAGACTAAATTCCTAGTCTGGATGCCTAGCAAGGTCATGCAAAGTGGGATTGTCAAAGCTGAGACACCAGATTAAGACACCTTCATCCTCTTCAGGAATTAACGTTCCCAAAGGGAGAAGAGAACTGATATTTCCCATGGTGATGGAGGCAGAGAAACTCCTGATGGGCAGCTGTTAGGCAGTAGTGGTAGCGGAAGGTGACACTGGCAGAGGATCTGTCACAGAAAATGACACTGACACTCAAACTAGCTTTATTACTGCATAGAAGGCAGCAGTGGTAAATGCTTCTGAATATTTTATAACTCAAAAATCCTATTATGAGCCAATCTGAAACAAAATAAATATATAATGCTAGGGTTTGAGACTTCAAGGTGAGATGGCATCCAGTCAGTTACTAAGGAAAAACAAAGGACAATTGCGACTAGTACCGTTCCTAATGAAATGGCTAGATTAAAGCTGAAAGGTCATCTCCTTGTCAGTGTGTGCAGAAACAAGGAAAGTCTGCATAACGTACATAACTGGAGACATGGAAGAATGAATCAAAGTAAATGTGAAACTGTAAAATAAAAAAAAATGCAACACTTAGACATTGCAGTTCTTGGTGTGAGTCAAATTAAGTGGACTAAAAGAGGATATTTTCAATGAGAACCAAACATTGCTGGAGAATATGGCCAAAGAGTTAGAAAAAAGGCAGAAGAGCAACTCATAGAATGCTTCAAACACTTTGTTTCAGGCAACTAACAGATAGTTGCATATGTGAAAACCACTGGATGGCTGATGTAGAAATCCATAGATTTTATAATCAGAAGCAAATAGAAATTTTTTTTGTTCTTACTGTTAAACTGAGTTCAGGAGTAAACTATATAACCTGTTATTATAGAAAATTAGAGCAAAGCTGAAGAATACTTAAACAAGCCAAGTGCCAAAATATAATTTAGATACCATTCCTAAAGACCGTAAAGAACATATTTGCATTAGTGAAGTCAACTGACAATAAACCAGAAGCACTGCAGAACTGAAACCAGAGAAACAAAAGAAAATATACTCAGAAAACTTGAAATTGTTAGTACCAACTGAGGAGCAAATGTAAAAAAGTGGTGGAAGTACGGTCAGTATCCTAAACGTATCTTTCCAGCAAATAGCACATGGGGCCAGAGAGAACTATTACCGATTGCAAAGAAACAGAAGATAATAATAATAAAAAGGAAAAACATTTTTTTCCTCAAGGGAAATTGAAAGGAAATTTAAATTCAGATTAGAAATGCTGAAATACTAGCAGGACCATATATTATCCAATTAGGAAAAAATAAGGAAAAGGCAGAAACAATGTATTGAAGAACCATACAGATTCCTTTAAAGAAAATGCTTTTGATGAAGAACCTGAAATTATAAGAAAATGAAGTGATAGCTGTTCTCAAAGCAATTGGAAGACAGAAATCATGAGAAGTAAATTGGTTTTCAATAAAGCCACCACAAGGCATATAGACTGGATATGTGAAACTCCTAACAAGAATGTACCAATAAATATGGCACATGATAGTCCACATACTGGAAATGTTCAATATAAACTCTAATATAAATGATTTATCTCTCTGACTGGGATGGGATGCTTACTGTGGTGTAATTATTCATTTCTCTCAGTTTGGTAACTGAAAAGAATTATAAAAAATTATTCAAGATAAATAAATAGAAAGCCAGAAGCTATGAAGGAGGGAGACTGATTCTGAAGTCTGCTATATTTGCAGGTCCAAAACTAGTCATAATGGTATAATAATAATGAATTGCTTCCCACAATACGTTTATGTTAAACACTTGATGCAGCAACTAGAAGAAGATATGACTGTGAAATAAAACATCCCCTGAAAATAAGCCCTAATGCGTTTTTGGAGCAAAAATTAATATAAGACCCTGTCTTATTTTCGGGAAAACACAGTAAGACTGAATGATACAAAAATCTAATTTGGCTGACCAAAGTTTTAATAATAATAAACAAAAACAAATATTTCACACACCTTATTGCACTTCAGTATTTATATTTCTGGATTTCAGAGTGCTCTCGATATAAAGAAACCAAGGTTTCTTGATTTATAAAGGTTTCTTGGTTTCAAAAAACTATAGCAAAGCTTTCAACTGTCTAAGTGATTATTTTCACATGACTTGATTAGAAACATGTCCACTTTCATAGCTTCAAGAAACTGAACAAATACTGTAGCCTTTATATGCTTGCAATAGCCGTGACTTTGAGAAGGAAAAAACAAATTTCAGTAGAATTAAGCTATTTCTCTCTTCATGCTTTTAGTTAGCAAAACTGATTGGTTGCTGGGAAATGGAATGCCATCTGTGGGTCAGTTCACAGAGTGGATTAACTTTTCTCTGGGCCTTTGCATTTCTATGGTGATGATCACTCTTTTTACAATTTGTTCTTCATGAGACAATTCTTTGGGAACTGATTGCCTATGACTTCTTTCCTTCCTTCACTCCACGTTTTAGCCTGCCTTAATCATACTGACTGAACCCAGAGGTGGGAATGAATCTGTGCCTCTCACTCTAGTTAGAGAAAAAGGAACCTATGGAACTGTGACTGTGATTTACGAGGTAAGTTTTATATATATATATACACAAAATACAAGAAAATGAAAATGAATAAAAAGAGAGGAAAAAAATAGCCCAATATAAGCCCTCCCCTCCCCCCTTCAGAGGACAAAGATTTCAACCTCCTTTGGATCCCAGATTCCCCAGGTTTCCAGTGAGCCTTGAGAAAGGTAATAGACATAAAACATTTTGCCCTAAACTTTTATTTTTTTCCCTGAGCCCAAAGATATATAAAGTCCCAACTTCGTTTCACATAGTCTTTTAGGTTGTTCACGTAGTGCTTCTGAAAGTTCATCTAATTCTGCGATAACCAGCAGTTTCTTTAGGAACTCCTCCATCGTGGGTGTATATTTACACAACATAATCCTTAAACAGATTCTTTTAAGTGACTTTGGAAAGAGAGTCTGAAAATCAGAGATATAAATAAAGTCCTGTTACTGATGTTTCCAAATGTTGCTCCTGATTTTAATGGGACTACTCTCATCCTCAGAATTTTGGCCTAAACCTGTTATCTTCTAAGGAAGAAGGTGCAAACAATTAGTGCAAAATAAATAGATAGATAGATAGATAGATAGATAGATAGATAGATAGATAGATAGATAGATAGATAGATAGATAGATAGATAGATAGATAGATAGATAGATAGATAATAGATAAAGAAATAAAGAAATAAATAACCTTGCATAGCTGTCAGGTATCTATTCTAGGCAGGACAGCACTGACATTTAATTACTTTTGTCCAATGGTTCATATATTCAGTTTAATGAGGGTAAGGTTTAAGAGCAACAGAACTAGGCAATATTTTCAGAAGAGACGTGTTGATCTGGTCTCAAGTGTGGTCGAGTTATTTTCTTCCAAAAGTGGGGCCTGATGACTGTCAGAGGCAGCTGCCTCAAGCAAAGCTTCATGAAACACGATGTAATAGTGCTCTTGCTTGGGGTCATGCACTGTAACAGAATTAGAATGGTTCTGGATTATATCCTCTGTGTTCTTCAGTGAGAATATCAGGAGAGTGAGCTTTAGGAAGGCTTAAAAATTGATGCAAGAGTCTGAGCTTTTTCTCCTCCCAGAAACAGAATCTGTTAACTCCTGAAGAGTTATATTTTTGTTTTGTTAAAGAACTTTTCTTTGATTCTGCATGTGATGCATTCTAGGGCCATGAGCTCTCTTGGGCAAATTTCCTGTTTGAAGGTAATTATCATTATCAGGAGCCATCAGTTGGCAGTAGCTCACACATCAGCTCTCAACTTTCAAATTATGTATATTAAAATTGTGATATTTCTTTATTTTTCTTGGGAAAATGCCACTGGAAAATGCTAGTAAATATCAAATTTCTTCAGTGATCGCCAAAATAACTGCATAGTAGATTGTGGTTAGAGTAAGTGTATTTGAATCAATAGAATTTATGGAGGAGTTAATTCACTAAATCCCCATTGATTCAATGGATCTACTCAAGTACAATTTACTATATTAAGGAAGTATTCATTCATTCATTCATTCATTCATTCATTCATTCATTCATACATACATTAAGGAAGAGGATTTTGGCCACTAAGCTGCTTTCTACTGTGTCACGTAGATGTTTGTTTGTTTGTTTGTTTTGTTTTGTTAAAGTTGCTTTCTACTGTGTAACGTAGGATGAGGATATGTTTGTTTGTTTGTTTGTTTATTGGATTTCTATCCCACCCATCTAGACCAAAGGTCTACTCTCATGTTCTCACTTTTCTTATTTTGAAAAGTGTTCATATCTAATCCACACATCCCACATGCACTAAAGCTGTCTCCTGGTTTCCAGCTGACATGACTATATCTTTGTGTTTTCACTTTTCTTATTTTGAAAAGTGTTCATGTAGTGTATCTAATCCACACATCCCACATACACTAAAGCTGTCTCCGTGGTTTCCAGCTGACATGACTATATCTTTGCTACCTGTGTAATCTGAATAGATGATCTCCCACTTCTTGTGTATGAATCTGCTGAAACAGGGATTTTTTTTGGGAAATTAATGTGATATTGCACCGGAAACTGCCTTGTAGCATTTCATGTCACTTCTTATTCCCATGATTTTGAAACCTACTTTTAAGCCAGCACCTTGAGCTTTTTCATCTTTCAGCTCATCACTGTAGTTTGTACAATGTGTATGGAAGGACCTCTCATCATTATTTAATAGGTGCTTAATAAAGTCTACTGATCTCATTTTTCTTTCATTTTGAGAGATTGTTCAGACTTCTTCGAAAGTTAGAAAATTTTGTCCGAACATCTTAGAACTTTCCTTGCTTTTTGGAAGTTATTTTTATTTGCTGAAATAATTCTTTATGTTTACTGAACGGACATATTATTTCTTCATAGGTAGAAGGTGTTACAGATTCGCCTGAGGAAGACTTGAACCCTGTAAGAGGAAATGTCACCTTTCCTCCTGGCACAGCTATATTGATTTATAACTTATTTGTTCTTGATGACCAGGTATAATCATGTGCCATTCATTTTTATGGGCTTGGTATATGTGTTAGGCTGTTGAAATTATTGAAGCAAAATATTTATAACTTTAGCTACCATTGGATTGGTTCACCCTTAACTTAGAACTAACATTACCTGTTAGTAGGAGTACTCAGAAATATTTCTTTCCAGATATAACTCTTAAGCTACATTCTGATGACCTTCCACCAAAATAGGTAGATTCCTGAGAGAGAGAGAGAGAGAGAGAGAGAGAGAGAGAGAGATTTAATCTCTCGGTTGATTGGAATTGTGCTTCACTTGGTAAATATTTATATACAAAGTGTGGGTGGGTGGAAGATGTGAGGAAAATTTTAGGTTATGGAAGCAACATTTGTTTGTGAAGGAAGGTGGGTTCTCTTAGAAGAACTAATGTGGAACAGTGAATTTGACTCTCTTTTGGAGATTTGTGTTGAAATACAGTAGTGCCTCGACTTACAAACTTAATTGGTTCTGGTATGATGGTCATAACTCGAAGCACCATTTCCCATAGGAATGCATTGAAATGCAATTAATCTGTTCCGTTTGAAGAAAAACACACCACAAAATACTGCAAGACGCATCGGAAATGCGATTAATCCATTCTGGCCGAAGGGAAGAGGGAAAAAAAAACAAAAGCAAACAAACCCTGCGAGACCAATTGGAAATGCAATTGATCCGTTAAGGCTGAAGGAAAAAACAAAACCAAAAGGCAAACAAACCCTGCAAGACCCATCACAGCATAGAAACATAACCCCACCACCCAGGCCAAACCCACGCTGTTAAACCCACTCAGAACAGCCAGTTTCTAAAAAGTAGAAAGCAGCACTTTACCAGGCAGTCCGAAGCCGCCTCTGAACACGCACTCTCTAACCGCTGGGGCGAAAGAGCTACAAAGAAGCAGCTCTTTGCCACAAATGGTTAGCAATTTGAATTGCCCGCCTTTTTTTCTGCCTTTTTTCTGGTTGTAACTGAACGCTCCGGTTGCAAGTCAAAGTAAAATTTTGCAGCCGGAGCTGGTTGTAACTCGAAATGGTCGTAAGTCGGGATGGTTGTAAGTCGAGGCACCACTGTACTTGCCATTTGAGCATATTGAGGCAAACAAATCAATGTTAAAATACTGTCACCATCAACATGCATGAAGAGAAACCAGTGTCTAAATAGTTGTTTAAAAGACTCCTATTTTCCTGGTGGGAACTTCAGGTCACTTTTTCATTCTGGTAAAAGTACTGTTTCAGTAGGACTTTGCAAAGAGTAATCTAAACAGCAAGCTCAGTTGCAGCGTCAGTCTATACCCTGAGGTGTTTTTTTGTTTTGTTTTGTTTTGCTTTGACATATAACTAATTAACAGATTCTGGATTCAGGGTGAAAAGCATTCTAGAGAGAGCTACAAAATGATAAGAAAATATGACAAACATCAGGAAAAAATGCCAGCTCTGTGTAAAATCACACAAATAAATCCTTCATCTAAATAAAATAAAACATATGCTCTATTTTCAGGATGTATGTGCTTCAGTGATAATTTATAGCAATGTTTTGTAGGGTTAGACAACCTAGGATGATAGGAAAGCTCTATTTATATATTTAGACACAAGTGAAACTTTTTTCTGCTTTGTTAAACAATTTGCTGTTTTGCACATTTTAATCTTTGATGTAAGTAATCATTACTGGTTAATATTACTTTTTTAGATCCCAGAAAATGATGAATTATTTATTGTTCATTTGAGAAGTGTTGAAGGAGGAGCTGAAATCAACACATCAAGAAATTCCCTTGAGATTATTATTAAGAAAAATGATGGTCCAGTGCGATTTGCTCAAGGTGTTTACATGGTGCATGAAGAGGATGACATACTAACAATTCCAGTAGTTCGGGGTAAAGATGACGCTGGGAACATAATTGGACCGAATGAAAATGAAGTCTCCATTCGTTACATCCTTTTAACTGGGAATTCAACAGCACATGCACAGCTCAACTTAGACTTTTTAGATCTACAGCCAAATACAATTGTTATTTTTCCACCTTTAGTACTTGAATCTTATATTGCATTCAAAATCCTTGATGATGCCATACCAGAAATTGCTGAGACTTTTCATATCATGCTACTTAGGGATACTTTACAAGGAGATGCTGTCTTAACAAATCCATCCATTGTCCAAGTTACCATTAAGCCCAATGATAAACCTTATGGAGTACTATCTATCAACAGCCTATTGTTTACTAAATCAGTTATTATTGATGAAGATCAAATGTTAAGGTATTGTAGCTTTTCACTGTAATCACATTGTCAAAGTAGATTTATGAGTTTAGTTGCAATTTATTTGAGAACACAAATTTTGACTGTACATTTTTGTAAGCTTTTTTGGTAGAATTCTTTTATGTTTAGAAATGAGTTATAAGTTGCAGTTTGTGTGTGTGTGTGTGTGTGTGTTTGTTCATTTTTTGCTTTGCCATTAATACCTGTCTTTGACATTTGAATCAGGCTTAGTGCTGTGGCTAGAACTCCAACTAATTTCTCTTCATCATATTGGCAACAATTTCATGGAAAAAAACCATACAATCAGTCCCTAGTCCTCCATTAATGTTCTTCCAATTGCACTGCTGAGGGATAAGTAGTTACACAGAGCAGGAGACACTTAAGAGGCACCTTGCTTTACAGTTAACTTTTTAAACATTGATAAAATTAATACCCATAATCCTATTGGGGATTTATATCAGCATAAGTTTAATTGTATAAATTGTGGCTGTGAATTGCTCCTAATTAATGAGTTACTACTTGTATTCCTCATTATATGCCAGTTGTGCTTATGATGTTCATTAGTGGCAATTTCGTACTGTACTTTTTGCAATTGCACTTATATTGGTGTGAATCCCCAGTAGGATTCTGGTGCCTGTGTAGTAAATATTTATCTTGTCCTAATGCTTTCTTGGAATTGGTTCTTCGAAGTGTCCATGTTCAGTTTAGGAGCATAAATCCGATTCTAGGAGCAGATATGTTCTTCATAGGAAGTGTGCAAATGGGGACCAGATCCTGTTCTGTAAATGAAGCCTGCGTAAGGATGATGACATCACCAGCAAGAAAGATTTTTGACGATGAAAGAGTTCCTGCTACTGTCTTGAAGATTGTCTGATTTGCATGTAACCAGTCTCATCGAACACGTACTATGCAAGGTGTAGGATAGAAGAAGGAGCTCTTCATTTGCCAAATATTCCTCCCTGATGGTAATGTTAACACCCATATGCAAATGTAACTTACGGAATAGGATGTTAACCATTGTATGTATTTATGTGTATGGTGTAGATAGACATATCCTAAAAATAATTTCTTTAATATTCCCAAATAGCCACCACACGTTCTGATCCCAGTGGCATTCAACTCTTCCCACCTGTCCCAAGCATCCCAAATCCTTCCCCAGGTTGAAAGGGATCCTTAAGGAGTCTCAGAACTGCTCTCTCTCTCTCTCTGTGTGAATCTTAAATGAAAATTAAGGTCTGCAGCTGATGACATCATCAGCCTTCACACAAGAGGAGATACTCAACAGGATTTCAGTTAATGAGTTGTGTGATTTTTTGTGCAACTGATAATGTCTGCACTGATTTCTTAACTTGGAGGAATTTGCCTCCAAAATAATGTCATTTGTGTAGCTATGCAAGACAATCTTAGCTATAGTGTATAGAATGTACTACGAGGAGAGATTCTCTAATAAACCTTAGGACATGAGCTAATTTTGAGAAAGGCACTCCCTTAGTTGTTTTATACTTTAAAATCAAAACCATCACCTTGATTAGGTCAAGGCCTAGATGCGAAACCCATCACAGCTGGCTGTATCCATTAGCTATTCAGTGGCTATATTGTCCACTCATTATGCTTTTGGATCTACAAAGACAGTCTCATGTACAGTGTTTTACAATAAGCCAACAAGAAGATCATCATGGCTAAATTATCTAAGAACAGTCAAAGCTTGCAAAGAATTTGAAGCTGGCAAAGAGGACTCCTAGATATTGATGCCATCTTGGGTTTCCATGGTAAATCTGTATGAATGAATTACTACAGGAACCTGCTACTGCTCTATAGTGGACACACCTCCTTTGTAGTGGACACACCTCCTTTGTTAAATTTTATTTGCAACTTCTAGGTACGAAGGCATCGCTGTTGTAAGGAATGGTGGGACACATGGAAATATTTCTGTTTCCTGGATTATAACCCGCAACAGCACTGATCCCTCACCTGTGACTGCAGACCTCACTCCAGACTCAGGGGTGTTACACTTTTCTCAAGGGCAGCTGTTGGCATCAATTCCTCTGAACATCATTAATGATGATTTGCCTGAGGAAGCAGAGCCATACCTGCTTAGGATTCTAGCACACACAGTAGAGGGAGGCGCAGAAGTGAGTGAACCCAACGAGGTGAGTCTGTATTTATTCCTGTATCTGTGGAGTGAGCTACACGTGGCTACTGAACTGTATGTCTACCTTTTATTTTGTGGTCCCTGAAACACTTATTTGCAATATATCCTTCTCACTACCACCCCACTACAGAGATATACCCTCCCCACGTAACAACTGCCTTTGGCATCTTCATACTAAACCTAGCTACCTCTTTCCTAAGGCTCCTAAGTTAGGTGTTAGCCCCAGGACAACATCCCCCAAATGTCTCCAAAGAATTTGGGGTTGCCCTTTTTAACCATGCCATCAAGCCCTTGCTCCAGGTGATATAAAGGGTTTCAATTAATAAAAAAGAACTATGGTCCTTGAAATCTTTAGGGAGTGTGATTCTCATTAAAAACCCCCATCCCTTGTTTTGACAGAAAGTAAGGTCTCTTCTGAATATTTCAGAGGGAGGGTGGAACTGACAGTACTTTCCACGCAGAACTATCCCCTTCATAGTTACTCCTGCTCTAAAGAAATGCAAGTAGTCAAACAACAAGAAAAAAAAATACAGGTTAAAACTAGATAGCTGCAAGATAATAGAGGTGTTAGCTGGGAACTTCATTTTGGTGAGCTAGGTTAGCTTTAACTTCAAAATTGTGTTTACAGTGCAATCCTATGCAGGCTTGCTCTAGAATAAGACTCCAGTGGAATCTGCTTAGAGAAAAGGGGGCTGAGGATTGCAGCTGTACTAAAGTGAGGACTAGGACTCAAGAGACCCGGGTCTGAATCCCAGCTTGGCCTTGGAAATTCATGCATTCATGGGTGTGAAACTAGGAAAGCCATTTCTTAAATATTTCACTTACCTCAAAAGCTTTATTAGGGTGGCTAAGTCAATTCCGACAGGATGGCAAATAACATACTAAAACTGGGAATACAGGTCCTCATGCATGCTCACTTTGAGAAGGATCTACCACTGTCAAGTGGAAGAGGATGCATGGAGAAAAATTACATGTATCCCACATAGTACCACGCCACAGAAGTTTTATCACACCACTGCCACCACTTGGAAGGTCATGCAAAGTCAGGTGTTTCAGGTCCTATACCTTTCAAAATAAAAATATAGAAGTTCAGTCAAAGCCGCAATGAAAAGATAGTACAGTGTGGATTTTAATAGTAATTTGCTCTTAACAAGAATGTTTTGTTGTCATTCTTGCAGCTTCTTTTTTACATTCAGGACAGTGATGATGTCTATGGTGTGATAAGATTCTATCCTTTGGAGAATCAGAGGATAGAAAGCAGCCCAGATGGACGTTTTTTGTCCCTAAGCTTTGCAAGGCAAAGGGGAACGGTCGGAGATGTAAGGTTGTCATATACAGTTGTATACATTCCTGCTGGGACTGTGGATCCTGACCGAGCTAAAGAAGGTGTTCTAAACATTTCTGGAAGAAGCTTCCTCTACTTACCAGAAGGGAAAATGGAGGACACAGTAAAAGTACCAATAAGAAATGATGCATTTCTTCAAAATGGGGCCCATTTCTTCATACAGGTATATATTATAACGTATAAAAGCATACGGTATAAAACTGTCTTAACTTACTAGTGTAATGTTGTGGCATGGTTACTCAACTTTCCAGAAGGTTTTTGGCAATGTTATTACATTGTAGCATTGCTCTTTGTCTCACGGGTTAACTGTAATGGCCCCAGTCTTTAACTATGGCTAAATGATTGGAAGCAAGCTGCTAGATCATCCTCTTATTTCTCCTCTTCCCATTCAAGTTCAGCCAGGCCTCCACCAACCTTAATTAAGGTTACCATAGTGGTCAGAGTTTAAAATCAGTGTTTTTAATAGGCTTAAAATCCTGCTCAATAGGAAATCTAGTTTGCTGTTATTTATATGGACTGTGATGATTTAATTTGTAACTATGATGAAAACTTTCAGCTATATAGTGGCAAGAATTTGTCATAGTGATACAGTGTAATAGGGATGGACTAGTGAGAGAGAAGAAATGATATGCTATTTCTAAGGTCTTAATAGATGACAGACTGATTCTGATTTTCTTCCTCCTACGAGCAACCCTGCAATGTGATCGCATTTGTTATTCACGTCTTTGCTGTACACGTAGAAAGGAAGTGATTCCACTCACATTTCTGCGTTAGCACATTTTCACAGTCATGTCTTCTTAACCACTTTGCTTCTCTTGAGTACTGTTTCTAGATGTGAGATCAGCATCTGGTCTAGTGAGATGCTTTACATCTCTATTGGTTGGTTACTCAAGAATTGGCTTCATGTGAGAGTAATATGATCTTAAAAAGTCTGTAAGTTTTTAAAGAATAATTTGGGGACTGGATTTGTATGAAGTGAGAATGAAACCAATATTAAATAAAGTGTTGGTCAAAAGAATAGATGAAGAAACTGAATATTTTTCAATGTCAAATCCAGGTTTTGGATCTAATTACAGTGGTGCCTCGCTTAATGGGCGCCCCGTTGAGCGATTAAATCGCTTAATGAGGGGCTCCGGGCCATCACTGGAGCATTCGCTCAGCGATGGCCCCTATGGAGTTTTTTCGCTTTGCGATGTTCGCTAAGCAGTTCGCTTAGCGAATATCGCATAACAAAGTGGGGGAGAACAGCTGATCGGCGGTTCCAAAATGGCCGCTGGAAGGTCCGTGCCACATTTTCGCGCCCTGCCCTCGCTTACCGAGGGCGCGAAAATGGCGGTGCTATGGAGGAACATCGCTTAACGGTGAGTTTTCTATGGCTTTCCCCGTTCCGTTCAGCGATGTTTCTGCATAGCGAGGGTTAATCTGGAACGGATTAATCTCACTATGCGAGGCACCACTGTACCTGGGTTTAACTTGAGATGTAATTATGAGATCTGTCGAACTAAAACAGAACTACAAATTCAAAGGTTCCCAGAAAATGTTTACAACTAACCTGGTTATGATCTGAGCACTGAACCTCAGCACCTTCAGCAACAATGCGAACAAAACTAACCAAACCAAAGCAAACCAACAACCAAAAAAAAAAAAACCCCAAAAAACAAACAAACCCTGAGTCCTGCTCTGCTGAGCTGGCATTCTGCTTCTTTGTGCCACTAACAGTACTGGTACCATGGTTGATTTGTTTCACTTGTGTGATTATTTGTGATCTATGCAATATAAAGTGCTCATCGGAATTCATACTCATGGAAGTTAGTTTTGAAAGAGAACAATTATAGAGATAATGGTCTTCCTTTTGTTAATTTAAGTACTTTATATATATAGGAAAACTTTAGATTCAAAGCAGAGAAGGTACAAGAAACTGGAATGAACATACAGTACCAGAATTAGTTTTACTCATAGCTTTGACATTTTCCTCTCACTTTCTCCTTCTTCACTTCATCTCATTCTCTGCACTGGGAGATTGCCATACAGATTTGAGAACTAGTCACACAATTACTTCCACACTTGTTTGTTTAGTCTGGAGACCTTTCCTCAGGATGTTTCTATTTGACTGAAAAATGTGAGTTCATAACTGGCTTCGGTCGTTAGCTTAATCTCTAGTTTGGGTGCATATGTTAAAATGTGATTAAATGTTTTCCCAGTTGTTAATTTTACATCTTCAAATGTGTCCGGCATAAAGAGATGCAAGCATTACATCACTGTGTTCCCAGGATTATTGAGAGGGTGATCTCTTCCTGTAATGGATGTCTGATATAATTCCATCTCAGAATTTTTCCCCAGTCATAGATTTTATACGCATTCAAAAAAAGAGAAAAGAATAACTAGGAAAATGTTGCATAGTTCAAGAAATAATTATTGTATGTGTACAAATGCTAGACACTCTTAACATTTTCATTTATCTTGCTGCAGCTGGAAAACACTGAATTGACAAATATTGTTCCTCTAATTCCACCTGTAAGTCCTAGACTTGGTGAAATCCGAAATATCTCCTTAAGAATTACACCTGATATTGCAAATGGAGAAATTGGCTTTACCACCAATCTTCCAATAATTTTAGAAGAGCCAGAAGATTCTATTTTTGCAGTAGTAAGTTCATATTTACCTATGTTGTTCTTTCATATTTCAAGCTTCATTTGGGAAATTACAAAGTCTGCACAAATTTAGTAAAATTTTGCAACATGGTCTTAGGTGAAATGTTTCTTATGTCATCATGGTGACAATATAATGGATAACAAAGAATAAAAATAATTGTAAGAAATTTGAAGCAGACTTAAGACTTTTTGAATTGAAACGTCATAATTTTTTTCTACTGTATATTACAAAGTTCTGCTTTCCTAATTTCAGATAAAATCTGTATCAGAAGCAGTACTTTCTCAATAAAAAATAACTGGGGAAAAGCAAGCAGAATATTATAATATGGCTGTGGGGTTCATATGGGTATCTAGGTGTTCACTTAGTCTCAGTCTAGATAGGACTTTGGTCCTATTTAGCATGAATCGTAGTATACTGGATTTTGGAGACAGCATATAACTCTCATGAACATCCTGCATTTTTCATGTACACAGAACACTGAAGATTCTTTTTCTTTCTTTCTTTCTTTCTTTCTTTCTTTCTTTCTTTCTTTCTTTCTTTCTTTCTTTCTTTCTTTCTTTCTTTCTTTCTTTCTTTCTTTCTTTCTTTCTTTCTTTCTTATTCAAGAAGTACAAACTCACAGAACTTGATGTATTTTCTAGATCTCTGTTCCCTTGCATCGAGATGGTACTGATGGACAAGCCATTGTGTTCTGGAGCCTGAAACCTTCCGGCCTCAATGCAAGAGCAGTAACTATTGATGATATAAGTCCTTTTTCTGGCTCTGTTGTTTTCGTATCTGGACAAAGTGACACAGCAATCAACGTTAATGTTCATGCTGATGACATACCTGAAATGAATGAGACTCTGATGTTGTCATTAGACAGGTACACTTCTGTACTTTGTTAAAAGCAAATACATTTATTAATTTCTCTCCCTTTGATGTTAGAAGTATTGAGGACTAGCTAGCAGCTATTTAAAATGCAATCTTACGTTCACTTTGTTCAGTGTGAGGCTCAGTAAGCACAATGATGGTAAGCAACCAGATATTGACATTTCTAGTTGGATTAGTAAAATCATACTTTTCATCCTCTTGTTGGGGCAGCAGGTCCTTCAGCCTATCAAAAATGTTCCTTTAAGAATTGGGGAATTGGATTAGGATGAATGGCCAAGGCATGGTACAGGTAGATCCCGGAATATTGAACAGAGTTATTTTCTCTGAGTCCACTGACCTTTGTGTAGCATTGGGGATGAAGGTGGATAGAGAGGCTGCTGTGGTGAGAAAAGATTGAGAATGTGTGCTTCCAAACATCCCTGGCTCCTAAACCTGGGCCCAAGGTAGAAGCCATGTCTGTATGTAATGCATACCAGGCACAGATTACAGCTTTAACTATGAAATCTAACAAATGAACAAGCACCCCAATTTCTGGTCTTTTTATCTCTTGTCCTTTTTGTCTGGTATTGCTTTTGGGTGGGCAAACAGATGGAAGAACAAGCCAGAGACAAGCTATTGTTTTGGGTTCAGATGTAACAACAAATCATGGTTTAAGAAACCAGAGTCAATAGACCAACAAAAAACCTGCAGTACAGTGGTGCCTCGCAAGATGATTTTAATTTGTTCCGCGAAAATCGCTGTCTTGTGAAAAAATCATCTTGCGAGGTTCCCTATGGGAACCTTGCAAGACGAATGAAATTTATTCGTCTTGCAAAGCGTCGGTCTTGGAAAAAAAGTCTTGTGAAGCATGGTCATAGAAAAAACCGTCTTGCGAGGTACCATAAGGATCGCTAAAACCAATAGTCTTGCAGGTTTTTTGTCCCCCCGAGGCAATCGTCTTGCGAGGCACCACTGTATCTAATGGCAAATTGTGATTGGCAAATGAACCACAGTTTATCGGGGAAGATTTACAAACAAGCCACAATTCAAGAAAGCATAGCCTGGCTTACCATGAATTCAGCTTTATGGATTTATTTTTTTCACATACAAGATTATACTATACTGCAACATTATGTCAGGATACAGGCATGGGTGAATTTATTATATTTACTTAACTTGTGAGTCATATGGTAATAAATGGCTGTGTAATGCTGATTGTCCACTGAAAATGTTTCTGCATTGTGTTTGACAGAGAACATTTCTTTGAAAAGATAATTACACTGATTTTTTTATTTTGGCTTTGTGTATTTCTGTCAAAACATGTCTGTAACAATCTGATTCTTAAAATGCCAAGCTATTCAGAATTAATAACCACATGCAAAGATTTAGTTTCCACAGGAAGGTTTGGATTTGGTGACCTGACAAGAAAAGGAGGGTTGAAACGTTTATTAATGTTAAATGCTGCTGCCTCTCTGGCCCTGTTTAACTTGATTTCCCATAGAGTCTTCTTCAAGTGGCCAGAGAGAGTCTTCTTCATGTGCTCCTTTTTTCAAAATCTAGTTTATTATTGGGTAATATAAAGTACTTTTGAATGCAAACTAATGTAGCCACAGAAGTTATTTGTTAATGATGATGATGTCTAGAACATTGACATTGCAATTCAAGGGGATGCCAGATTTGGAAAAACGAACAAAGTACAGAGAACTGGCAATAGAAACATTTTACCTCAGGAAGAAATACACTTCAGTGGTCCCCATAGTCATTGGGGGTTTGGGAACAATATCAAGAAGTTTCACCCAGTACTATAAGCGGTTTCAGATCTCTAAAATCATACCACCATCAGAGCTACAAAAAATGGTAATATTAGGAACAGCATACATAAAGCACTGATATTCAACAGATATTTAGGTTTTTGGTTAAAACTTGTATTTATTATATAATACCAGTCAATGTTTTTATAATGTTGACTGTGCCTGGTGTTTTTGAGTAATAATAATAATAGGAACAGCATGCATACTGTGCCAATATTTAACAGATACAGTGGTGCCCCGCTTGACAACGATAATGCATTCCGGCAAAATAGCTGTATAGTGAAATCATTGTCAAGCAAAGGTAAAAAACCCATTAGAATTCATTAAAAACTGATTAATGTATTCTAATGGGGGAAATACCTCATAGTCCAGCCAAGATCCTCCATAGGGCGGCCATTTTCCGGTGCCTGTAAAGCGAGCAATCAGTCCTGAACACGGCGGGGAGCCATTTTGCACAGCGGGTGGCCATTTTGTGACCCGCTGATCAGCTGTTTCAAAACCATTGTTAAGTGAAAAATCGGTTCCCGAAGCAGGGAACCGATCGTCATAAGGTGGAAAACCCCATAGGAATCAGCATTTTGCTATCGCAATAGTGATTGCAAAAAGCTCATCATAAAGTGGATTCGTTGTCAAGTGGGTTAATCGTCAAGCGGGGCACCACTGCACTAAGGTTTTTGGTTAAAACTTGTATCTGTTATAGAAAGGCAGTCGATGTTTTTATAATTTGAATTCGCTGTGCCTGGTCCTTCTGAATAATAATAATAATAATAATAA